GGTGGTGCATACCTGTCCCCGCTACTTGGGAGGCTGAGATGGGAGGATCACTTGAGCCCAGGAGTTAGAGGTTATAGTGAGCTGTGATCACGCCACTGCCTTCCCACCTGGGTGACAGAGTGCAACCATGTATCTTTAAAAAAAATTATCTTCTGCAGAATAAAGCTCAAACTATACATTTGATCTACAAAATCTTCCATATCATGCTCCCAGCCTGTCTCTCCAAGTTCACCTTATGTCCCTTGCCTTTAATTTCAACAACCAAGGCCATTGCCAATTGCTGAAATTGTTTGTATTCATTCTCTAAACATATATTGGTTCTTAATAAGTGTCAGGTTTGAGCTATTCACTGAGATACAGAGAGGAACAAGACATAGTCTCTGCCCTCTGGGAGTAGAGTCTAATAGAGCAAATGCACACATGCAGCCCAGACCTCCTTTGGGTTACCCAGCTGTATAAAAGTGAGATGCATTCAGTGCAGATTCCCATTCAACACGGTATTCGTTTTCTATTGCTGCATAAAAAAATTGCCTCTAACTTAGTGGCTTGCAACAATTTTTAAATCTCAGGTTCATGAAGAGTCTGGGCATGGCTTAACTGGGTCTTCTGCTGAGCTTCTCATGAAGTAGCAGTCATGGAGTTGACTGGGGTATGTTCTTCTCTGGAGCTTGTGAGAGGACTCCCCAACATCCCATGATTGTTGATCCTTGCAGTTCCAGAACAGGTCCCACTTTCATGCTGGTCATCAGCCAGGGAATGTTCTCAAGTCCAAGAACCCCACAGTTCCTTGCCATATAGCTCTCACTGGCCTTTCAAAACAGCAGCTCACATCAAGAGCAGCAGGAGAATCTCTAGCCCCAGAGTCTCATATAATGTAACATAATCACAGGCATGACTATCCAGTTGCCTTTGCCATATTTTTAAAAAAAAGTACACAAAGTAGTGACATCCTATCTCTTTTGGCATATTCTATTGTTAGAAGCAAGTCACAGGTTCTTCTTGCACTCAGAAAAGACAATTATGCAACTGCCTGACTCATTGGAGATTACTTTAGGGCATGCCCACCATACACACAACTTGAACCTTTCACGATAGATAGATAGATAGATAGATAGATAGATAGATAGATAGACAGACAGACAGACAGACAGATAGATGTCTCCGAAGTACAGGGAGCTGTGTAAAATCTCAGAGTCCAGCTAAGGACTCCTTTTCCTGCCAAATTAATTCAGCTGTGGGACACCAACCTGTCTCCTTTCCCCATGCGCTGATCCAGCCATGGGTTCCAGCACCAGGATTGATGCCAACTAAAAACAAACTCATTTACGAGGCTGTGGTTGATGACTTGCATTGTTGGACCAAGAACTTAAAATTTTAAATAATCTTGTTCTTAAAAATCCTTTAGCATGTGACTAGAGAAGGCTGATGACTTGCATTGTTGACCAAGAACTTAAAAATTTTAAATAATCTTGTTCTTAAAAACTTTTTTTAGCATGTGATCAGACTACATCCCTTTCTTTTTTTTTTTTTTTTTTTTTTTTTTTTTTTTTTTTTTTTTTGTCATTTTTGGCCCTCAACACCAATCCCCGTCTCTAATTTTTGGATAATTTTTTTTTTTTTGAGATGGAGTTTTTGCTCTCGTTGCCCAGGCTGGAGTGCAGTAGCACGATCTCGGCTCACCACAACCTCTGCCTCCCAGGTTCAAGCAATTCTCCTGCCTCAGCCACCCGAGTAGCTGGGATACGGGCATGCACCACCACACCTGGCTAATTTTGTATTTTTAGTAGAGATGGGATTTCTCCATGGTGGTTAGGCTGGTCTCGAACTCCCGACCTCAGGCGATCCATCTGCTTCAGCCTCCCAAAGTGCTGGGATTACAGGCATGAACCACCGTGCCAGCCGTTATTGGTTAATTTTTATTGCCAAGTAGTTTAGCAGTATCATGTTTTTAGGGTTGCAACTTTTACCTCAATCGGATCAATAAAGTATTTCCCCAGGCAAAGGCAGTTCCTTCCCGTAAAGCAGTCTATTTTCAGGTGTTGAGACAGTATGTTTTATTTAGCACATGATGTACTCAAACAGTTAGTTACATGATGATAGCGGCTTGTGGTCCATGCTGGAGTAGAAATGAATCAGGGTGCTCTGGGATCCCAGGGATGAGATCACACAAGGGAGCCTGTAGAGAACTGCTGGGGTCAGGGAAGGCTCTAGAGGCAAGGCATGACTGGCGCTGCCAAGACATTAGCAGGTTAATGATGGGGATATGGCAAAAGTGGGCAGGGAAGAGGACCACCAAGACAGAAGGCACATGGGCTCAGATAATTTGAGGAAGTTCTGTCATTCCTATGACCAGTCTGCTTGTGGGGAAGCAGCAGGAGATGACAAGGCTGTGAGGAGGGCAAGGCTAGATCACAAAAGACCCACATCCCTTGTTAAGAAAAATCAAATCTGGTTCTTTGTCCATGAACTTTTGTACCTCCTGCACACGTACATGTTGTTCATGAGGCCTAGGGGTCCAGACTCAAGGTCAACACATAAAATGGAGAATGTCCTGGATAAACTTGGACATATGGTCAACTGCAGCATAGCTTTGAATTTCCTTCTCACCTCTTCGTTACAGCACCTCCAGGATGCTCCTAAAGCATGTGAACACTTGGGTCATAACCTCAACCACATTCTTCAGTAATTATTTGTCCTGTTTTCCACATTGAATTAAGGAGTGCTTGCATAATAAGGAGTAGGTTTTATTCATGTTTGTATCCTTAAAACCAGTACTATGTCTGGGACAAAAGAGGCACCAAATAAATTGGTATTAAATTGCAATAAAATGATGGTTAAGTCTTACTGAAGGCTAACTTTTCCAGGCACCTGACATGGATTACATCATTGAATAATGGAGGATATGGACATTTAATTGGATTCATTTTACACAGAAGGAAACCATGATTCAGAAATGTTTTGTATTTTGTCTAAGAACACACAGGTCATAAGAGAAAGAAAATTATTGTAAGCAAGGTCTTCTCTACAGAGCCTATGAATGAATAAAATAAGGTCTTGAGTAAATGATAATGTGGACTTGCAGAATCTTCTGAGAGTGATTAAGTTCCCTGCCCCCTGACTGGCCAATGATGAGCATGTTTCTATGAGAGCACCATGATCCTCAACAATTGACTTAACAATATCCCACATCAATTATTTCCTGAAGTCCTCAGAATCATGGTATGGTGAGCTCTAGGTAGATTCACTATTCTCTTTCCCCAATGACTGGGATCTGCCAAGTCAATGAGCTGCTCAAAATCACATAAAAAGCACCAGAGCTTCCTTTTAAGCCCATGTTTTTGGACTCCAAGCTTTGTGGTGGTCATTTTACTGACAACATAGTTACCCTGATGGTAGTGATTCTTTGTGATGAATTTCTTCATCTCTAAAACAGGAATGGTCATATCTAACTTTGCAGGTTGTAGTAACAGTTACTGATGTTGTTACCATCATCAGCACCACCATCAGCAACATCATCACCACTACCAGCACCACTGTCATCATAACCATCACCATCACTACCACCATCATCACCACCACCACCACTACCTCTACCATCATCATCATCAACTGTGAAGATTTGGGGCTTAGGGGAGGCAGATATCAAACATGGGTCAAAGTCGAATTTCACATGAAATGGCCAAACACAGGAAGGAGTTGGGGATCTTGTTTGGGTTCGTGGGCATGATTGGAGATACAAAGATCCAGGTCTGAAGATCAGGAGATTTATTTATCAGAAAATATGATCAGGATCACTAAGGGTCAGGGCAGAACTTGGTCCCAGCCAAGGTCAGAAGGAGACATTTCCATCCTCCTTACATCATGGTCCTTATGGTCACACCATGAGACAACTTTCTGTGTATCTGGACTGTGAGCTCATGAGGACAGATCCAGCTCATTCATCATTGAATTCCAGCTCTGTATGCTCAGTGTCTGCCATTTAAATATTGAATGAATGAATGAACAAAAGCCAAAAAAGCATGGGTAGAACCTAAGTAGAGCAGAAAACCAGAGTACCTGGAGTAGGAGAGCCTAGAGTATGTAGTACCAGGCTTCACCCATAAACCCTAGCTTGTAAATTCCCTATTGGACACCAGGGAACCTGGTACTGACAACTAAGCCAAAGACTCTCCACCAAGAGGGAGAACCATTTTCCTTGGTGAAACAATGAAACATGTACTCTCTGTCTCCCTCTCTCTCTCTCTCTCTCTCTCACACACACACACACACACACACGCACACGCACACCTCTCACAGAGTTTATAAAGATAATCTTAAAGAATTGTAGTTCGCTCCTGCCTGAGTCTGGGCATGAACCAGGTGACCTCTCCGTGAATTTTAAAGGACCAGCATTCTGAATCCTTCAGTGTAGTAGTTCCTCTTCTTTCTAGCATTTCGAAAACAATTCCAAAGTTCCCGAATTGAAAGAGATTCTTTCCTTTTGTATCAGTTGACTGTAAAAATGAACAATATTCATACTTGGTGACAGAAGCCTTTGCTGAATTTTTCAATCTTTGGAATAAATTTGTGTTTTCTTCATTCTAAGAAAACATTTTCGTATATTTTTAAATCAGTCCCATGTGTGTAGAACACATTATAAATTAATTCATATTCTTACTGACTTGTGAAAAGTTGTCTTGACTTTTGGAATTTCAGTAATGTCCTCCAGTTTGGAACCAGATGATCTGGTTTAAATTATAACTAACTGATTCTACTAAGTAGCTGGTTAAGTAAAAGTATGCACATTGGTCAACTTGTCTCACCTTGTTTTGTCTAACTGGGATGATTGTTTCTGCCTGCCTTGCAGGTTTGTCATGAAGATTGAATGGGATAGCATGTAAAGCACATGTCAATGTCCAGCGGAAGTTGCAGCTTCATCCCGGAAGACACCTTTCCCCATCTTAGCCTCAAAGCAAGCGTGACTCAAAGGTTCCTTAGTCTCTTTCTTTCTTCCCCTCTAGGTTCCTGATTGTCCTTGGGTGCTTGATTCTGGCTGTCCTGACCACATTCAAGGAGTATGAGACTGTCTCAGGAGACTGGCTTCTGTTACTGGTAAGATTGCATTCTGGGGTAAATGCTTCTGATTGGGCTTCCACAGTGATGAAAAGGAGGTTGCCCTTGGGTACACTGACTGATGTACCTGTCTGGTTGCAGCTTCCAGTCAAGTCCAGGCCCAAGGAAAAGCAAAGCCTCCCTTTGGGCACTCCGCCATGGGCACATGTGGAGTGAAGAATGGCATTCCTGGTAAAGATTTGCTATTCCACATTAGTGAGAATGAGAAATAAAGTCAAAGCAAAAACCAGTGCATGTTATTAAATTATAAAATACAGCTTCCCAATCCTCTAAAAGTTAACGCAAAGGCATGTTTCATTCTAAAACCTGTCTCTACTTTTTCTTCCTGGTATCCCACAATCTAAACTCCAAGGATCTCTCATTCTCTTCAAGGCCAGGTGCAGAATTCCATTTATACCTAAAACCTCTAAATCTCCCCTCCTGGGGCCCCCATTTGTTTTCACTCTCTGTCCTCCATCAGGTGGTGTCGTGGAAACAGAGTAGGGTTAGAATTCTTGGGCAAGTCAGCTACTGTACCCCTGACTCTGTTTGCTCAAGTCCTTGCCCAAAATATATAAGGTCAGGTGAGCAGCAAATGCAGACAGAGGCTGGGCCCAGCCTCAGTGCCTTGTTGAGAGGAGGCTCTAGCAAGGGTTTGCTGCTTCTGTAGCCGCAGGACAGCACTGGTCAACTGGCCCCTTGAATGACCACACCCTTGCATGACTCGGAGTCAGCCCTGCCTCTTCAGGGCAATGCCGACTGCATGGGGTGAGGCTCCATCCTGCACACAGGGCAGTCATGTGGTCCCTAGTTAGAGCTTTTAAAATAGTGGAGACTTCTTCTCACACTGGGCAAGCCAGCAAGGCACCAGAGTCAGCACTTCCTTCTGAGAGCAGGGGTTTGCAACAGCATGACCCAAATCTGAGACCTCAGTGTGGAATTCCTTGGAAAGCACCCAACTCCAGAAACTAGGCTCCGAGGATTGTTGTCAAGCAGTAGTGCCTTAGGGGGCCCAGGGAGGTCACAAAAGAGAAAGAGGCAGAGGTGTTGGTGTCTGATTATCAAGGGAGTTGCAGAAGGAAAGGAAGACCCTGTGTCCTGGAAAGTGCTTAAGCTCCTGGGCGCTGCTGCCTAGTTACTTGAGCCTGAGATCCCTTCTTCTCCACTTCATAGCCTTGAAAAACTTGTTTAACTACTCTGTGCCCTGGTTTCTCAAAATGTAAGATGAGAATAATATTATCAAACACTTTGGGGGCTGTCTGGCCCAGGGGCCGGGCTTAATAACCATTAGCCACAATTAGCAATGCCAGGGTACAGGCACTGGGTGGAATTAATAGATTGTGTTCGCTGATATCTCTCTTTTCAACCCCACTGCACTTCTTGGGGGCTTTTCATTCATTAAAGGGACTTTTAAAAGGATTTATTGGAAGAAAAGCATAGAAAAAAGAACAAGCAATCACTGTGCCAGGTTTAGCAGCATTAAGGACAGTTAGCACATCACAATGAAGACGGGAGGCCTCCGAACTGAATGGCGATGATGGACCTGTTCTCCCCATTCACCTTCCCCGCCCCCATCCCCAGCCATCCATGCCAACCAGACAACCAGCAACAACACAGAAATGGAGTTCTTCAGAACTTCCGAATAGAAATCACTAGCTCCCGACAAGTGGGTCCTGGTTAATCAGTGCCTCTCCATGTGCTCTTCCATGCAGGAGACATTTGCTATTTTCATCTTTGGAGCTGAGTTTGCTTTGAGGATCTGGGCTGCTGGGTGTTGCTGCCGATACAAAGGCTGGCGGGGCCGACTGAAGTTTGCCAGGAAGCCCCTGTGCATGTTGGGTAAGTCCTGACCCTGAGCCTCCCAGCCTCCTCAGTTCTTTTCTTTTGGGGCATTGTTTCTCTGAGAAAAGTTTAAGCAGCTATTCTGGGAAATCACGCGGCACTGTGGAGGCCAGCCCAGCCCCGACACTGCCTGGATGAGAAGGGACAGTGTCAACCTTCCGGGTCCTCAAGTTCCTCCTCCTGTGACTGGTCCTCATAAGGACTGCACAGGGCAGGGATTCTTAATTGGCGGCGAAGGGTGTCACTCTTGGCGATTGGGTTGTGGAACAGCAAGCAGGTTGCAGTCCCTGGACTAGTAGCACCCCCAGTCACGGTGACAATCAAAGTTCTCCACAGATTTCCAGACGGGTTGGGATGGAAGCTGTAGGCGTGACACCATGACTGGCTGAGAATCTACTTCTACAGCAACACGTTATGTCCATTGTACAGAAATAGAAACAGAGGATCACAGAGCTGAGTCATTTTTCAGTCATGCAGGAAAGAGCGGATTCTGTCCTAACACCCAGGTGTGGTCCTGCTTCTTAATCCAATGGTTGCTTTGAGTGGTGTCACTGGAATCCTTCCATTTGTGTGCAGGTAGTTTGATAGTAGAGAAGGTGGAAGCTCTCACCAGCCTACTGGTTCAGTGTGGGCTAAAATCCGTGGATTCACAGGACAAAATCTCCTTGAGTGATGGATAGGAGTCTTGGAGCTTCAAATCCATGGGAAGGTTGGAATTACAGGATCATAGTGTCAGGGATGAAAGGACCTCCAAAGGCATTTAGTCCAACTTACCATCGTGTCTGATGCTCCAGTCCCCAGCAGCAGCTGTTAAGTGGTCACCTGGGCTCTGCTTGCGTGCCCCTAGTCACAAGGTGCCCACCACTTATCCAGGCATTTATCTTATTTTAACTCCTCTGACACTCTTCAGGTATTTGAGTCTAGACATTTTATTCCTCCTCTCCACTCCAGAAGAGTCTTCTTTTACCAAGGAACAATGTTATCAGTGGCTTCCACTTACCTTACATCATGCATTCTCAGCATCGTACTCCCTCTCCTCTGAGCATGCTACTCATTCTTCACTTTACTTTTGAAAAGTCATTCCCAGGACTGAACACAGTCGTTCGGGGATGGACAGCCAGTTCAGAGAAGAGCTGGACCATATCCTTCGTCCCAGGTGCCAGGCTTCTCTCCATGCAGCCTGGAGTTGCATTGTTTTGCCTACTCCCAGCTGAAGTCTCTGCCCTATTCCCATCTACTGCTAAGGTTGGACTTATGAGGATTTGGGGTTTTTCTCAGCATTTTGAATGTATGGGAGGTATGTGAGTGAGCGAGTGTGTGTGTGTGTGTGTGTGCAATGTTGGAGGACTTTTTCGATGATTTTTTTCATATTTCTTCTCTCTTCCTTTGCCCTCTTTCAGTATCTAATCCCCACTTTTCTTTCTTTCCTCTCTCCTTTTCCTCCTTCCAAGCTTTTTGCAAGTGCAATACAATTAAGCAGACTTATTTTTCTTCCTTGGCGTGACCGATCCGAGGCTGACCAGAAGTTCTGAGTATGTGGGTGGTAGCTTTATGATGGACTGTGCCCACATTCAAAGGGACTCCTTCCCAGTTTGAGAACATCCCAACAGATGGAGCCCAGACCCCTGCAGGACAGGTGCATCCCCCATGGGGCAATATCCACTATTTTAAGATCAGTTGCGGTCACAGAACTCCAGGTCCCCCTCCACCCTCCCTGGGGAGATGAGGCTGGGCCTCAGTATCACATGGTCCTTGCTTAGTGTTGCCATGTTTTCCAGTGTACTCACATCCACTTCTTCCATAATGTGGCCCTATGGGAAATGTTGTCTTTCTCTGTTTTAGAGAAGAATATGGTTATCACGCCCATGAACATGATAACCTTCATGCTCAAGGCAGTCTCAGACCCTGCCATTTTGAGTAAAAATGGTTCAGAAATGCCTCATGGAGCGTCTTAGACCATAGTGTTTACTACACATCTTGGCGTTCTTTTTGTTTTCTCTACAAGCATTATAGATGGACAGTTTTGCACAGATAATCTGAGAAGCCTGGCAAATGATGCAGATGTATCAGTATCCAGAGGTTTGACCCCTAGGTTTTTCCAAAGGTCACGTATACCTGGAGGACACTTTAACAAGGTAGGAAAGACATCAGCTTTTTGGCAAATGTGACTTGATATGAGTTGAGGAGGTTATTCCAAGCTGAGAGACCAGAACACACAAAGATATGGAGATATGTGCTCAATGAACTACAAAGGCTTCTGGCAGATTCCCAGGAGCCAGATCATAGAGGGCTTTGCAGAGCTTGGACTTTTCCCAGTGGACAAATATTTCTTTAAGTGTATTTCCTGGAACCCTTGGAGCCCTTGCAAAAAAGTAGTTCTGTGGTCAAAATATTTTGGGAAAGACTGTACTTCACTTGTATAATTGAGAACCACAGTGTATATCTGCAGATTAAAGACTCTGTGAAGCCCTGCAAACCCCATAAATATGTACAATTATTATGTTTAAATAAAAAAAAGTAATGACACTGAAAATAAATAACACTAATAATTTTTTTAAACCAACTTAATGGAGTTTTTCCCCAAATTTACTTGGCCATGTGGTCCTTTATACTTGGTAACTGTCTGCAGGAAAGTAGGGTGATAATTGATATGGGAATTGACTACAACAAGGACATAGAAAAGAGATCAGTTCCTCCCTCTTCCATACTAGATGATTTGATGTCAAGAGCCTACTTAACCATCTCAAGTGTCTCGTCCCCTTGTTCCATCTCTGAAATGTCTGTAGTGGACATATTCATGCCATCTCCTGTTACCAGCATCCCACGTCATGGCTGAGCCTATCTTCTTTCCACAATCTACCCCAAGGCCTTCTCTCAAGCCTAGGGAGATCACTGGGCCAGTGTAGCTCACATGTGTAGGGGCGTTGACAATGCTATGGATGACCCTCAACCAGCAGGAGGCAAGAAACAGATGTCCCAGCCTTCCGTTTTTCAGATGGATAATCTTGGGAAGTCTGTCTACAACTCAAAGGACTCAACAGTGACCTTGATAACACCCCCTTACATTGTGTGCATGTGTGTTTTTTTTTTACATTCTCTCTCTTTCTGCCATCACTTCTACTTCCTAAGATCATCTTCCAGTAAGTTACTTGAACCCAAGTTCCTACCTCAGGTGATGCTTTTAGGAGAAACACAAATGGAAACAGTGTCTGAGTGTCAGGCGTCACCTCCATAGACTGAGCAGTTGCAGATCTCCTCTGGGGGCCCCAGAGCGAATCTCAAGGACCACACTGCGCGGGGCCTTGGTGAATTGCTGCTCTGCAGCCAGCATTAAAGTGTGGTAGGCCTATTTCCAATCCCAACCCAACTACTTCTGGCCAGGTGGCCTTGGAAAGGCACTCAGGCTCAGAGCTTCAGCTTCCTCATCAGTCACGAGGGAATAATCTCACTTACCATGTGTGGTTGGTGGCAAGATTCAACAGCAATGCTCAGATTGTCCCACTGCTTGGCACATGCTGATCTGCCAGCAAACAACACCTATGATGTTGCCAGTGCTTTCGCTTGACCTTCCTTTCCCTCTTCCCTCCCACTCTGTCTGTCCTCTCTCCCAGACATCTTTGTGCTGATTGCCTCTGTGCCAGTGGTTGCTGTGGGAAACCAAGGCAATGTTCTGGCCACCTCCCTGCGAAGCCTGCGCTTCCTGCAGATCCTGCGCATGCTGCGGATGGACCGGAGAGGCGGCACCTGGAAGCTTCTGGGCTCGGCCATCTGTGCCCACAGCAAAGTAAGTGTGATGGAGAAGCTACAAGACCACATGGGTTTCCCACCCACCTGTGCCCTTCCATGGCATCCCTTCCTTTACAGTGTCCCCAGAAGGCAGTCATTCTGCCACCCTTGATGATAACAACAAAGAGCAAGAGGAGGAGGAGGAACAGGAAGCGACAGGGCTGGGGTGGGGGCATGAGCAGGTGTGGTGCAGGGAGCAGGAACAGGTGGAGCTGAGCTTAGGTATCAGCTCCACCATATGCAAATGACTTTGGCCAACTTGCTCAGCCCTCTTTGGCCCTCAGTTTTCTCACTTTTAAAATAGGGATGATAATGCCTATTCCTTCAGAGTTTTGAGAGGATGGAATGAGCTCATTCAACGCCACATGCAGCGGGAGAAAAAGGCTTGGGAATCACACAGGCTGGTTTGAATCTGAACTCTGCCTCTGTGACGCTGAGAATTTTTTGTGCCTCGGTTTCTGCATTTATAAAGTTAGGATAATAATGCACTGACCTCATAGGGTTAGATGAAGATGAAATGATATGTGAAGAGCACTTAGAAGGTACCCAGCTCATAGAGATTGTCCAATTGCAAGCGTTATATAAAGCCCAAAGCACAGTGCCTACAACTTAGTGCTTGACAAGGACTAGCTCACCTCATGAATCAGGCACTATTGCCACCCCATTACACTGATAAGGAAGAAAACACAGAAAGAGGAAGTACCTGCTCAAGGTCACATAGTGGGACACAAACCATAACAGTCCACTTCTAGGGTCTGTGTCCAGTGGTTTCCTGCTGGCTATGGTGGTGCTCACCTCTCCCAAGTAGATCAGAATCCAGGAGGGGTGGAACTCAGTCCATTCCTTTTCCAGAGCCCCATGTGGTTGAGCAGGTATGGAACCCAAGCAGCCACAATCCAGTTCATTTGGATTCATGGTACTGCCTGTGTTTCTTTCCTATTCTTAGCCCAGGTCTTTGGTAGCACTTTGTTTTAATCTAGCTGCTTTAACTGGATTCTGGAGGAATGAAGAAAAACCCCTGTGTCTCAGCTCAGGCAGAAAAAAAATCCCGAGAGGAGAAATCAGAAGGAGAAATCCCTGGGATGGATGTTCTTTGGGGGTACAAAGCCAAGCTTACCTTGCTTCCCAAGAGAGTATCTTTTTGCACCCACCATGGCAGGCATAATAGATGCTGTTGTTGTCCCACCTAGGTCCCTTTTAATAGGAGCCCTGTGACCATTTCCTCAATGATTACATGCAAATGTGTCACTAACACTGAAATCCCTTTCTCCGGTTCTGTTTCTGGGGAGCTGGACCTGACGCAGTGAGCCCTGGGCAATTTGACATTAAGGAGCTTAGAGTTTTCCTTATGCATGTTAACGTGACCATGCCACCTGTAGCTGGACACCTCCAAAACATACCCACACAACCCCTTGTTCTTCTGTCTCAAGGATGCACCTAGATAACGTTGAAGGGGTAGTGGTTTCCTATGAGATCGCATCTCAGAGTAGAATATGAGCTTGGGAGTCAGACAGCAACTTGGCTCAAAATTCAGCTCTGCCACCTTCCAGCCAGAAAGCCTTAAAGATGTCATTCTATTTTTATGAGCTTCCTCCGTGGTAAAAATGTGAATCCTCCTGGGTGCTCATGCCAGAAAAGGTGCATTTAAATGCCTGGTAAGTCATAGGTGCTCATTAATAGTAATGTTTATTATTCTGAATATGTTGTTCCTCACATACCATACACATACGTATAGACATAAAATGGAGTGAAAGTATAAAATACCTGGGAATCTTTCAGCTTAGAATGCAATTTCTTGCCATCTGTGTTTTATTTTTCATCTGTGCTGCTTCTGGCTGCAGAATCATTGAGGTCAGAGCATCCTTTACAGGCCCTTTTCTTCCTCCTGACCTTCTATTTTATCTTTTATCAAAGGACACATTAATAAAACCCCTGTGGGTTCAGCCATAACCCGTATCCATGGAGCTGAGTTGATTCACAGTTCTGGTCAACACTGGTGCTAAAAATTGCTGGTTTAGGCCCTTGTGCTGTGTTCCTCCAGATTATAACAGATCCCCAGTGCCTGCTGGCTTTTGCCATGTAATTACCAGAGACCATTGGAAGTTTGTGATGTAATTCCTCAGTAAATATGATCTAGCACTGCAGCCAGACCCCAGTGAGGCAGATACTCTTTCCTAGGAGTGGGAAAAGGCTCTGGAGCAGAGTTTTCTGCATACAAACTTAGATTTACAGGCTCTTGTTAGACTCCAAAGTACATGTTGTGAGTCCTCCTGAAAGCTTGTGCTACCAGAGCTGGGAGGAAGCTCTTCCCCAAGGGAATCACCAATAGTACTGGCAAATGGACATTTATCAATTCATTTCTTCATTGTACTCTGGGCCGGGTTCAATGGCTGACTCTTCTGGGCACTCAGAGATGAAGTGTGGGAGGCTCTGTTGCACAGGGTTAAACTTTCAAAGTTAATGCTTTCACTAGAGGATAGGTCAGGTTCTCCTCCCAAAATAAATGAGCCCTAGAGCTCCCACCACCCAGCACAAAAACCTACACATCTCCTGGCTCACACTGTATCTGATGTGTGCTGGGTGGGCCCCATCCGTCTTGAATATGAGGACTTGAGTCACCAAAGCAGGGGAGAGGAACCTGGAGAATCCTGCAGAATGGATTTAAGGGACAAGGAGGGATTCGCTCTCATCACTTTCCCATATTGGCTGAACCCCAGTACCTTAGCCTCAACTTGACTGCAGGGGAGCCTCAGCAGGTTCAGGAGCTACCTGTTGGGGAACAGTCACAGGTTCTGCCACAGAGCTGCTGGCAAAAATTGTATAAAGTCAGAATTATTTGGAATAACTGCAAAGTAAATGACTATAAAGTACAGAATTAGGACCCATTTTCACTCCTTTTTGGTGACTGTTATACCATCCCTTATTAATCTAGAACAGTCAGTTTTTATGTGCACACAGAAACAGACAACTATTTCTTTGCTTAAGTACCAGATGAAACTTCTGACTTGCATTTGGGGGCCGGAGGGTATGAAAAAACATATAAGCAGTAGGCTCATACTCCACAAGCAAGAGGCTTCTGCTCAGGTGATCACTGGGGAAGGACTAGTCCGTGCACCTTTTCGTTCTCAAATTCCCTGCAGCACAGAACCTCGCTCACCAAAGGGAATGGCTGGCTGGGTTGCCTGTATCATCTAAGCAAACCCCTCTGCTATAGAACAAACTCACACCAGTACAACATGTGTGTGATGCTGTGGGCAAGGCCAGAGCATAATAGCAAGTGAGCATAATAAAATGTTGGAGGCCTGGAGAAGTATGTTTAGAAAATGGGGAGGGAATAAAGGAACCACAGCTGAACTCTATCTTTCATTGGGGAAGCAAACATTAGAAAAATTTCATAGTGGAAGTGACATGAGTCTGAAGATGACTCCATGCTCTTTGGTTGATCCCATTGCAGGAGGGCTATTCAGACTGCAGGACCCATGTGAGCCAAGTCCTGCATGGAGGCAGGAAGCAGTCCTGTCAGGAAGATTCTACTGGCCCAGAAGGGCCAGTTGACTGACCGCAGATGGTCAAATATAGGAAAGATACCAATGTGAACAACTTTGCTCTCTGAGATGACTCAGCAAGAATGACAGACAGTCTTAAATCTCCATATTGTGTTTACCCATAACCTTGCCTTTCTTCCTGCCCAGCCTACTATGATAAACCTTGAAACTGGAATAGGATGAGAGAAAGAGAGAAAGTTGGAGCTGGAAGGAGCATTAGGTCTTGTCTCCATTAGGAGTTTTGAAACTTCATTGAAGTTTCCGTCCATACCATCCTGACTATTACTTAGCACTTTTCATTAAATCACCTTACTCTTGTTTACTTAGTCATATGTCCTAGTCTATTATGTGACAATATCCATGAAATTACAGGCTGTATGCCTTCTTTTGCTTCTTTTGCATAGGCTCTAAATCAATATTTAATGTAAAGCTGCATTTCAGCAGTCGTACACATGACGATTTCAGGAACTCTGTGGCTCTGTCCCTTCATGTCAAAAATGAGGATACTAACATTTAGGAGAAGAGGAGAATCTGCCCATGGCCACACCATAAACTGGTGTCAGGGCTGGGTCTCTTTCCACAGCCCTGTCCACTATGCAGTGCTGCCTCTGGCTTGCTGCTGCTTTCCTGGTTGTACTGAGCTTTCTCCTGGCTCCACGCAGTCCTGCATAGACCCAAGTCTCCTGAGTCCTGAGCCTTGTATCAGAAGCAGCAGCCACTTCCTCCTGCCTTCTTGCCTTCCTCTGAAGCCTCTTGAGGTGTGATATTGAAGTGGCCCTTAGCTAGAAATCTTCCTCTCCTCTTGGAGCCATACACTTGTTCTGTTAATTAGTGATGAAATAACTACCATGTTACTGATCCCATTTTACAGTGATGGAAGATGAAGATCAGAGAAGGTGAGTGATTTGGCCACAGTCACAGAACTGATGAACGTGGACTCCAACTCCGGTGTGTCTGGCTCCAGCATCCACTCAATGACTCCCCAGTCACCACTTTTTATGTCCTCTGCTGATTCTTTCAGGAACTCATCACCGCCTGGTACATCGGTTTCCTGACACTCATCCTTTCTTCATTTCTTGTCTACCTGGTTGAGAAAGATGTTCCAGAGGTGGATGCACAAGGAGAGGAGATGAAAGAGGAGTTTGAGACCTATGCAGATGCCCTGTGGTGGGGCCTGGTGAGTCACTACCTTGGAGGCCAACTCTGTAGGATTGACCATCAGAGTCAGAGAGAGGTGGAGAGCATCACGTGAGCATGTTCAGCCAGGCAGCTGTATTCTGTAGTCAGAAGTAAGAGCTAGACCTGTTTCAGCTTGGAACCTGCTGACAGGAGACCCTCCTTCATGGTGTGCACTTGGAATTGACTTTTCTCTAGTGTTTATAAGAAGCCGGGGCTTGGAACAGCCTGGTTGCATGGTCATTTAGGGACCTAGTCTTACCAGTCATAGGCTATTTTCAGCCAAGCCATGCTTGTGCAAACAAACCCAGTGACAGATACACATGTGTGCTCACACAGACCTGTGTGTGCACAACCGTACACCCACAAGGACACACAGTACTTAAGCTGGCATTCACTGAAGGCTTGCTTTGCTCCAGAGCATGTCTCTGGGTGCTTTACTTTCACTAACCTACTTTAAACTCAAACTACTTCTATCATTAGCTCTTTTTAAAAATAGGGAAACTGAGGCATAAAGAAGTTAAGTAACTTTACGGTCTTTCAGCCAGTAAGTGGCTAACCCGGGATTTGAAGTCAGACAGTTAGACTCCGGAGGTCACACTGTCAACTGCTCTGATAATCCTGCCTTTCACATGCAGATACACACGCATAAGTACACGTATACTGATAACATAAACATGTAAACACACACAGGAATATACTAAACACACCAGAATAGACACATACACAGACATTAGACATGCACGCATGTATATACAATACATACAAATATACTCACAAGCACACATATATTCACAAACATGGCTATAAATAAAATCACAAATTCGCAAATATACACACACATGAATGCTCGTGTACGTACGCATTTGTAATTATTGAAATATTTGTTGACTGATTGACTAAGGTAGGAAATCCTTAACTTATCAACAAGTCTCAAGGCATCCATATAAGTTACTAGGTACTTGGTGTCTTTTCTCCTAAGGGAACCTTGTTATAAATGGGAGCATTGCCCAAGCTGATAGAGAGGCTTACAGGTAGAGCTCAGTTGGCATTTTCCTGAAATTCCTCTCCATGGGGTACTCCATGTCTGAACTCTTCTCTCTTCAGATCACACTGGCCACCATTGGCTATGGAGACAAGACACCCAAAACATGGGAAGGCCGTCTGATTGCTGCCACCTTTTCCTTAATTGGCGTCTCCTTTTTTGCCCTTCCAGCAGTAAGTACCTTTGATATATGACATCCCCAATGTGACGTGCAGGACCCCTTACCACCTGGCCCCAGCTCAGCTTTCCAGTCTCATCTTCTATCCTCTCATACCCTACCAACTCCCTAGCCATTCCCTTAAGCATGATGATCCTGCTTTTCTGCCATAGGCCCTGCTGCTTTCCTTTGCCAAAAATTTCTTCAAACATCAACTCCTCTTTCAATGCTGCCTTCTTTAGGCTGAGTTAGTCGCTCTGGGCGTAACCCTGGGAATATTTATGTAAAGGAGTTTCTGGCCTTATGCTAGGATTACACATTTCCAGATCTGACTCCTGCAGAGGACTTTGAACTCCTTGGGTTCTGGGATTACATTTTTCATTCATGCATTCCCAGTGCCTTGCACAGAACAGGGCCTTCATTTATGTGAGCTCCCTTCTCTTGTCCTGTCACTTACTGGCTTATGTAAAAAATACATTTCTCTCAAGAATAAGCCTTGACCTATGTATGATAGAGTAACTTCCCCAAAGCCTGGTGTCCAGATATGTAATAATAATGAAAACAGATTGCGTTTGTTGAACACACTACGTGCCTGAATCATGTCAAATGCTTTACCCACATTATTTCATTTAATCTTCATGGCAACATTATGGGTTGGGTCTGTTTTTATCTCAGTTTTTCAAATGTGAAACCTGAGACTTAATTGGGTTAGTAAATTTTCTACAGTCACAAGGCTATTGGATTGTAGAGCCAGGAATCCCAAGTCCACTGGTTCTAAAACCTGGCTCTTAATCACGAAGTTTGAAAAAACTTTTAAGTAACAATCTCCTTGCCACGCACTTCATCTTCCATTCTTTCATTGGCAACGTTCTTTCTCTATTCACAGCCCTACCTTGTCTGTTTTTTTTTTTTTTCCTAAGCTATTTGACCTTGAGCAAATGACCTTCCTGAATCTCAGTTTTCTCATTGATGAGTCAGGACCATAGGAATGTTACAAGATCTTCAAGTTCTCTTTCAGCTTGAAAAGTGTGTGTTTCTGGCCACTTAATCCACTGTCAAGTCTGACCTGAAAAGCAAAACAGATCCCAATTCTGGGAAGTTCTGGCTATAGTCAAAGTATGAAGTGAGAGTTCAAGCAGCTAAAATATTTTTAAAACTCAATTAACATTACTGGGCATCTATTTTGTGCAGTACCCCTTACTGGCAGTTTATACAGATTTTCTCACTTTTTTCTTAACAAAATCATGCATTAGGTATTATTATCCCACATCCCTGTAGGAAAAAAAAAAAAAAAAAAACATGATGCAACAGGGCTAAGGGGCTTGCCCAGGCCCTCACACCCAGAAAGTGGCAGTGTCAGAATTGGAACCCAGGTCTTCCTGACTTCAAGGCTCATTTCACTTAACCAAGCTCCCTACTCTCTTCAAGAGAAGGAAGGGCTCTTTCCCCCTTCCCTTCTTTGTACAATGTTGTCACCTCAGGGACTTGGAGTGCAGTTCAGCCCTACAGTCCCCATTACCCTGGCAATGGAGCGGGAATGCTGGGAGAGTCTAGCTGGGGGCTAACTTCCTGCCTGCCTCTCTCTCCAGGGCATCCTGGGGTCTGGGCTGGCCCTCAAGGTGCAGGAGCAACACCGTCAGAAGCACTTTGAGAAAAGGAGGAAGCCAGCTGCTGAGCTCATTCAGGTCTGTCTGCCTGGGAATGAACTGGAATGGGATTAAGATCCATGCATTTGCACATATGTGTGTGTGCATGCATGTGTGCACATGTGGAGGGGACATCCTCATGAACTGGGACAGGACCCAGGATTTTATGTGTGTCTGTGTGTCTTACGTGTCTGTGTGTGTGTGTGTGTATTAATGTGCCCAGGCAGGAGCAGGCCTGCTTACACATGCTTACTTGTGGATGGCTATGGAAGTTTCCATGGGTATCTATTTCACCTGTTCCTCTGTGTACTGAAGGTGACAATCCTGTCACTCATTCAGTTTCTAAGCCAAGCAAGAAATAGACAGAGAACTCAAGGATCAACCTGTCAGCTTTTTTTTGATATGGTGGTGTTTTGAGCTTTTTTTGAGACTCTCTTGTCCAGGCTGACGTGTAGTGGTGTGATCATAACTCACTGCAGCCTCCATCTCCCAGGCTCAAGCAGTCCTCCCACCTCAGCCTCCTGAGTAGTTGGGACTACAGGCATGCACCACCACGTGCACCACTATGTGCACCACTTGACCTGGTTAATTTTTTAAATTTATTTTTGGTAGAGATGAGGTCTTACTATGTTGCCCAGGCTGGTCTCAAACTCCTGCACTCAAGCCATCCTCCTGCTTCGGCCTCCCAGAGTTCTGGGATTATAGGTATGAGTTGTGGCACCTGGCCTCAGCTCTTTTACTGATGGTGTGCTGGAGATGAGAATTTGGTGTGGACTTGGGGCTGTACTAGGCTTTCTTCTCCTTCTACTTCCCCTCAGATTTGACCTAGGGACCCACAGGGAAGAGTCAGCCTAATGTCCAGGTGCTTAGGCAATCCGCTACAAGGAGAGCAGTCTCTGTCATATCTGCCAAGCAGAGATCCCATAAGCCAAGAGAGAAAGAGATGCCTTACATGTGCAAAATATTAAACCAGTTTTCCCATTTGTGCTGCCCAGTAGACAACCATGGACCAGAGGATGTTGGACATGCAACTGCCAGCCTTCTGTCTCCATCCCTAGCCTCACATGGGCTGGGGGTTGCGGGGAGCAGGGAGAGGTGATGAGAGAGGCAGAAGTGTTCCCTGTTATATTTCAGAGGGAGTTCCTGCTTTGTTTTAGTGGGTTATTGGAGGACGAGGGCACAGTGAATAGGAAAGCAGAGTGTCCTATCAACAGCTGTCTGCTTGCGAGGGCATGGCCACCCACTTGTGAACTTTCTCCAGTCATAGCGAGTGTCTGTGTGGTTCTGTGTGCCTGACTCAAGATTGTGTGTGATGTCATCCTGCATATTATGGTTCTTAGGCCAGTCCCAGTTTCCCAGAGCCTGTCCCATTAACTCCCCACACCCCAAACCATCAGAGAATCCTAGAGATTCTAGGATATTTGTGTCAAAACATCTCCTAGGCTCTCTCTTGCACCCGGAAATGGTACAAAAGACTCTATTCTTTTATCTGTTTGACTGAGAAGTCTCAGGGAACCTTCTGGAAAGTGTGGTACTTGTTTCTCTTCATTTTTAAATATTTTATTGTTTACTTTTTTTTGAGACAGAGTCTTTTACTCTACAACCCAGGTTGGAGTGCAGTGGTGCGATCATGGCTCACTGCAGCCTCGACCTCCTGGGCTCAATTTATCCTCCCACCTCAGCCTCCCAGGTAGCTGGAACTGCAGGCATGTGCCACCATGCCCAGCGTTGTTCTTTTTTTTTTTTTTTTTTTTGTAGAGATGAAGTTTCATTATGTTGCCCAGGCTGGTCTCCAACTCTTGGCCTCAAGCGATTCTCCCACCTTGGTCTCCCAAAGTGCTGGGATTACAGGCATGAGCCATCGCACCGGCCTTTGCTACTTGTTCCTTTCAGGGATTTTGTGCCTACCACTCCTCTCCCTCTACTCCAGTTCATCTCTCCATTCCCCCACTCACCACAACGCCAATTATAGCTCCCAGATGGTCAGGAAGTTTTTCTTCCCAAAGTAGCTTCAAAAAGCCAAAAATCTCGGTTTTTCTGCATGTTGACTCAATGCACATTCAAATTCTTAGGAGTCCAGGGCTTAAACGTTGTTCTGATGGTGTGGGATTCTGTGCAAAAGTTTCAGGAGGTGCCCACTCATTGTTGCCCCTCTTTTCTGCCCCTCAGGCTGCCTGGAGGTATTATGCTACCAACCCCAACAGGATTGACCTGGTGGCGACATGGAGGTTTTATGAATCAGTCGTCTCTTTTCCTTTCTTCAGGCAAGTGGGGACTCACCTGAACGCTCAGGGCATGACCAGCCATCTCTCCTGCGGTCTGTATTCATGTCTGTGGCCTCACAGTTCCCTGGAGAACACTCTTCAGGGCAGTGGTCCCCAGTTTGGGCTGCACACTAGAATTATCTGGGAGCTTAAACAGTTCTGGCTGGGCGTGGTGGCTCATGCCCATAATCCCAGCACTTTGGGAGGCCGAGGAGGGTGGATCACCTGAGGTCAGGAGTTCGATACCAGCCTGGCCAACATGGTGAAATCCTGTTTCTACTAAAAATGCAAAAATTAGCTAGGCATGGTGGTGTGTGCCTGTAATCCCAGCTACTCAGGAGACTGAGGCAGGAGAATTGCTTGAACCCAGGTGATGGAGGTTTCTGTGACCAGAGATTGTGCCACAGCACTCCAGCCTTGGTGACAGAGTGAGAGTGAGACCCTTTCTCAAAAAAAAAAAAAAAAGAAAAAATAATCTGATTCCTGTGCCACTCCTCAAGCTAATTAAGTCAGAATCCCCAGGGCTGGGGCCCCAGCATCAGTATATTTGGTGCTCCCCAGGTGATTCCTCTGTGCAGTCAGGGCTTCCCAGCTATCCAGCATGGAGTGACTGATAAGGAAAGGTCCAATCAATGTGTGAGCAGGATCAGTGGGTTGAGGAAGTGGGCAGCCCACAAAATGAGCCACTCTGAAATATTGGATGCTCCTCCAACCTGGGCATGGCCTGCACCCGCAGACTACTCTGGACTCCAGGAAAGGAAATGCAGAAGAGGACAGCAGGAAGAGTCCTCTGGTCACCCAGAGATGCTGTTTCGTGTTCTCAGAGGTGGGAGATTGAACTAAAGATCTCAGAGAAAAACAAGAACCTTTTTCCATGGTTATGGAAAAGGGAGAGGGAAATTAATATGCATTGGATGTCCACTATGCTCTAAGCATTAGAGTTCAAATTTCATTTAATCCTCACAGTTACCCTATGAGATAAGTCAGAAGATTTAAGGTGCATCAGACTCAATGGGGGTATTGTGCAAAGGTAGATCTGGCCTCCACTTCAGCAATTCTGATGGAGGTGTGATGGTAAATGCATCCTGAACAGGAGCTCCTGGGGTGGGGCCGAGCCGGTGGCCCAGAGTCCACACCTGGAGCCAGGCTGAATGGTTTGTACACCCAGGCTACTTTCAGAGAAGCTAGCAGAGTCAGGCTCTGACACGGAACCAATGTCAGCTACATCTGGAGGCCTTTGAAGCCCATGGTCTTTTCACTACTTGAGCTTCTAGAACAGACTGCTTTTTTTTTTTTTTTGATACTGGGGGCCTGAGTTCAGATTGTTAAGTGTATGCGTAGTGTGCTGGACTCCTAGAACCCTTGACTTGGAAAGAAACATAGATGGACAGTTAGCCTCATAGTTGGGGCTGGAACCTGCCTCAAAGCAAGTTTCTGTCATTGTGTCTACAGGTTCAGTGAACCCTCATATAACCCAATACTACTAGATAGCGGGCTCCCTCTGTGCCCAGCCACAACTCATCTGCAGACGCACACATACACACACACACACACACACACACACATTCATTATCCTCAATTAATCTTTCTACTCCCATCTCCAGATTATGGAAATAGAAGAGAATTGCAACTCATTTTCCTGCATAAAACCTTCCAGTCAGTGACCATGACAAAGTAAAGAAAGTCCAAAACCTGACCATCACCTCCAGGACCCTAAAATATTGGGCCCCTGATCACCACCCCCATGCGCCTCCTATCTTGCTTCACTCCTCAAAAGGTTCTAGTGGCAGGTGCCACTTTCTATTCAGGGCACTCAGGGCACTTGGTCCACTAATATTTTCGATCCCTTGTATGTGTTATTCACTGGGACGACCATGGAAGGTCACGGGTGACTTGCCGAAGAATCTAACTTTGATCCTGAAGGCAATGAGAAGCTAGATGAGCCAGAGAATGATATCAGTAGATCCATTTTTCAGGAATATGATAGCAAAGAGTGTGGAGGATGGATCTATGGACTCAAGTCAAAGCAAGGAGGTTAACTAGCAAATATCGTAGGGTTCAGAGTAAGAGGAAATGAGGGCCTAGATCAAGGTAAAAGCAGTTAGAAGGCAGAGTAGAAGGAGGACCTGAAAGAGAACAGGCAAAAGGGGCCCATGACTTGTGGGAGAGTTAGAGAGGTCAGAGGAAGCAAGTCTTCAATAAAAGACTGGGAAAGTTTGGGTATACTTACTTGTAACTAGACTTACTTGCTCAGACAGTGACTTATGTGTTTCCATTTGATTCTACAATGCTATCCTTGTTATAATCATTGAGGATTTGGGATAGCATAAAGCAGAGTCTTCTTAGAATGGGCAGATGACTTCCCCATAAGAGACCACAGTGACCTTGAACTCAAACAAGAACACTTTGGATGCAGAACCAAGACAATTTCCATTTGGTATGCATCCCAAGGTGTTGGCAATGGGCCCATTCTTTTGGGTTGATGTATTATAAATAAGACATTGTCCTAGCTGTCAGAGACTTGGAGGAGTACATTGTGCTGCAGACAGCTGCTGTGATATGAGAATGGTTTTTAAACTAAGAGAGTACATTTCTTTCTTTCTTTTTCCAAGGACAAAAGTATAATATCCCTAGAGAAATTCATTTAGCAACCATTCTGAAGCAAGGCAGTCCCTTGGGAAAAGAATGTCCCTGAATTCCAACCCACTCCATATGTTAATGGCAAAGAAGTAGCTGACAACACACTGGTGTTTTCTCACCTACCTCCGAAAGGTTTTCTTGTCTTTTGTTTATGCTTGCTTTAATAACAACTTTCTTGAGATACATTTCACAACCCATAAGAGGATTTTCCATACCGTAAAAGGTACCCTTTTAAAGTGAACAGTCAGTGGTTTTGAGTATATTCACAAATTGGGGTATCAATCACCACTATCTAGTTCTAGAACAATTTTATTATCCCAGGAAGAAATTCTGTCCCAATGAGCAGATACTCCTGGTTCCCTCTTCACCCCAGACCCTGCAATCACTATCTACTTTTTGTCTTTATTTCACCTATCCTGAACCTTGCAGAGTTTAATGAAATCATATAATATCTTTCTTTTATGCATCGTTTCTTTCACTTTGCATGTTTTCACGTTTCACTTGTATTGTAGTGTCTGTCAGAACCTTACTCCTTTTTATAGCCAAGTAATATTTGATTATATATACCACATTGTGTTTAATGATTCATCAGGTGTTGGAAATTTTGGTTGTTCCCACTTTTCGGCTTTTGTGAATAATGCTACTATGAACATTCACATACACGTCCTGTGGACATATGTTTTCAACTCTCTTGGGTATATGCCTAGGAGTAGGATTGGTAAGTCTATGTTTAACTTTCTGAGGAACTGCCAGACTGTTTTCCATAGTGGCTGCACCATTTTAGACTCCTGCCAAAGGTTTGGAAGGATGAAGTAGCGTAGCCCATCTGCAACATGATGCCATATCACAACTTTCAGCTTAGTGTAGTTCTTTGTTAATTTGCAAGTATCTATGTTTTGGGGGCTAGCAGTGATGGATGGTGGTGGTCCGTTCTTATTTTTTTAAACAAATTATAATTATAAACTCGTTGCTTTGGAATTGCAAAGAACTTCAAAGAGTTTCAAGCCCAAACCCAATTTTCTATGAGAAGAACCTGAGAGTCCCCAGAAGTTCAGGAACCCCCAAGAAGTTCAGGCCACATATCATATTGGGCATAACTAAGGGCAAACCCAGGTCTTCTGATCTGCTGACCAGTGGAGGCTGAATGGACTTAAGGAAGATGCTGGGGTAGGAGTGATGGCAGATTATACATTCTTATATGCAAGCAGGGATGAGGGAAGCTGTTAAAAATCAGACATTGCTTTTTATCAACAGAACACGTGCACTGTTTTATTCCTGGTAGGGAGAGTGGAATTATGTCTGACTTTTCATTTTCTACAGCTGCACTGTTCAATATGGTAGCCACTAGCCTTGTTGACTAGTGAGAATTTGACAATTACCAGTGCAATTGAGGAAGAGATTTTTTAATTTTAATGTAAATAACCCTCTGTGACTAATGACTACTCTATTGGACAGCACAGCCCTGGAATTGTTAGCTATGAGAACTGAAATGGAGATGAGAAGACTTTGCCCACGATGTAGAAAACACTTGACCAAGAACAGGTAGTTCATTGTGTAACCAGGACTTGTTCCTTTTATGACGAGGGTCAAGATTATTGGAGTGCTTAGAAATGGAGAAAGGGGACTATATGCACTAGTCATTTCCTATGGCCAAATAACATTGGATCTGCTTTCATACATACTATCTTATTTAAGCTTTAGGATGTCCTGGAAGGTAAGTAGAAGGGGTAACCATTTTTCATAACCCCACTTTTATAGGTAAAGAATAAGAGAGTCAATGAGATTAATTAGCTTACTTAATGTCACTCAGCTGATAAATGATGGAACAAAGATTGGAACCCAGGTCTTGTGCCAAAACCTATATTTTTATTTTGCTTTGTATCTCTGGGAAGAAAACATTATTTAGGGAGAAAACTGGATAAAATGATGATAAAATGATATAAGGGTCATTTTAATAGTAAGACCCATTCTTGAAGATTGTTGTTTGGATGGTCAAACTGAATAAAATGTGTGAGAGTAGTTGTCTTAGTCCTTAGCCCATAGCAAGTGTTCAATCTGTGCTGATTGAATCTGGGCTGCAAGGGAGTATTGATGCTGAAGGGGAAAGGAAGCCCCTGAATTACTGCCCTGGGAAACCACTGTTAGCAACCATGATCTAGAACACTCTGGAATGTTGTTAAAACCCTTTTATTCATTTATTCCATTTATTTAGCATATATTTATTGATCATCCCTTATGTGAACTCTATTTGGTATTGGGGATCTAACGGTTAACTGGACAGGTCAACTGCTCTGGTCCTATCCTATCATAAGGGTAGTGAAGATAAGATAGGGTTGTGCTCATGGGATGTTGTGACTTGGAGTTTGCTGGGGCTTTGGCTGGAGCAATCTCAGTGGAGCACTGGACACAGAAGCCAGATGACACAAACTAAAGGGTGATGAGGAAATGAGCAAGTAGGGACAGTGATTGTAGGTGACAGCTGGAGTGGATGTGAGGCCAAGAATTTTTTCTTTGATGGAAAGGGTCTAGTAGAGAAGGATAAATGTGCACATGGGGGGAGGGGAAAGACTAGAGGCGAGAGAAGCAGAGATGGCCTGGTCTGTGGAGTATGGGCCTTCATTAAGAGCATGGGCCCTTCATCCACTAGCACAAAACAGAAGTCCAGTGGGTGACCAGATGGTGAGACCATGGGTAGATCTCAGTGAGAGGGGAGTCAAGGTCATCAGCTGGGAGGAAGGTGTAGAAGTGAGAGAAGTCTGATGGTAGAGCAGGAAGCGTGAAATACTCATCGTGGAGAGTGAAAGAGGAATGGACAGTGTAATCCTTTAAACTTTCTCCATACCATGCCTTCTCTTCCAATATGCCCATCAGCTGCCCCCTTGTTTGCCCTTTCCTTCCCCTTACTATCTTTCCTACTTCTCCTGGCCTCAGAGACCTAAAACATCCTAGAAAGTCACAACTTTCTGTATCCACCTGCTTTGTGATCAACTAACTCATCACTTTATTGTGCTCTTGGGGAAATGAGCCCAGAGAATGTATGACCAGCCCAAGGCCACACTGTAACCAGATGCTGAGCTGACCCTCAAAGCAGAAATTCTTAACTCTCCAACTGGCCCTTTTACTTCTCTGCCATGATTCTCTTGTTCTGTGTCCATCCCTCCCACCTGTGGATCCCCATGTTAGGCCAGTCACTCTTTCAACATTAATGAGCACTCTCATGTGCTGGGCTGCAGAGCTCATATTTTAGACAAGAAAAAAAAAACAGACTACATGTAATTCTAGTGTGATGTGATCTATGTGATAACGACATAATACCATTCCATTTGTGAGGGGATTTTCTCTGTCTAGACCTTGGACAATTGAATAAGAACCTCCAGGAGGGCCCCTCCAGGTGGACATAAAGGATGAGTAGGACTGTTCCAGGCAGGGAAAAGAAGAAGGGAGTTCCAGGCAGAAGGAGAGCCTGAGAAAAGGCTTGGAGTCATGAATGTGTGTAAAGCACGGCTGGTGCACCTCCCAGCTAGGAGTGAGGGCTCCAGAGCCAGATCACATGGGTTTGGATCCTGACTTTGCTGTCTCCTAACTGTGAGCCCTTGAGCAATTCATTTAACCCCTCTGTGCCTCAACTTTCTCCTCAGGGAAATGGGATGATAATAGTACTTCATAGGGTTGTTATGAGGATTAATTGAGTTAAGACAGTGTTTACTATGATGACAATGGTGGTGATAAAGTTATGTTGGGTGTGTGACTGCTACATTATGACATTCCTGGTTTCTTGGTCTGTCCCCACTACCAAACAAATTTTCCGAACTCAACATGAGAGCTGGGGCAGAGTAAGTGCTCAGCAACCATTTCCTGGATGAATAAATGAATGAATGAGTGGCTGCAAAGAGCCCTGAAAACCTCAGAGCCAATGGGAGTAACATGGGCTGGGGTCTGGCTGGGTAAACCTACCTCCTTCATTGGTTCCCTCCACACTGACCATCCTGTCCTAGAGCTCAACTCTGCTCCATCATCTTCAGAGGGAAGCTTTGTGGCAATCTTTCAAGGAAGAATACAGCTGTTTCACGTAATTTATGCTTTATTTTTTCTCCCTCTTCTCTTTCCAGGAAAGAACAGCTGGAGGCAGCATCCAGGTGAGGCTGATTATGAATTCCATTCTTCCCATCTTTGTGTCAAGACAGAGCATCCTGCTCCATATGGTGTATAGCCCCATAGGTGGTCATGCTGGTCCCAAGATAGAGTTTTTGGGGTCACGTGGTTGCTGACCACCATAGTCCTCTGCCTGGTTTCCTTCTGGTTGATCTGAGGGCAACTTAATAGGAATCATGGCAGCAGCCTCTTAGTGAGGGTCTGGGTTCTGTGTCAGGAGTTCTGCATATGTTATCTCATTTGGTCTTCACAACCACAACGTAAGATAGGCCCTAATATCATCCTTTGTGGATGAGGAGACTGTAGCTCAGAGAGGTTGGATTGAGACTGAGTGGCAAGACCAAAATTCAAAGTCAGGTCCGAATATTAAGACCATGTTATTTGCATGATATATCACCTCGTCTGCTTCCTGGGCTCACAGATGGTAAGTGAATCAAGACTAATTCATGATCCTCATGACTGTGGAGGTTTCTCAGTAAACCACATCTATCTATATGCCTATATGACATGTAGAAGCCATTTTTAAACTATTATTATTGACAAATCACTTGTGAGTCCTCACAATCAATCTACTGGACACTAAGTCCAAACGCTCTCCTTCTAGTGCTGACAGAATCAGGCCAGAGGAGGTGAGAGGACCCTGGACTACCTTATAGGGGAGCCACTTGAGAACAATGGCCTTTGGGAGGCCAAGTCAAATCCTCCCAAGTGTTTCCATGAAGCCCCATCCACACAAAATCCCACTTGGAAGAGACAATTACTGATGGTGTCAGTTCTCTTTCCTTTGGGTGTGTTTTCAAATGGACTATGTGGTTCTTGTCTGGACCCACTTTGGACTATAAGGGCCTTTGAGCAGATTGTAAAGGAGGGTTAGGTGAATGACAGTAATGGCGTTGGGACATTCACTAGAGAATCTGCAGCAGCTCATGGCTCCCAGAGGCAGAGTGAAAGGACACCACAGACATCTCTGCAGATATTTCTACGGAAACCAAGGTCCCTGGAGAGGACAGGTTCATCCCACATCACACAGCCCATAAGCACCAGGAGTAGATGGTCAAGGTCTCAAGATTCCCAACAGGGTGTTCTTTGCTTTCCTTCTTTCATGACCAACAGGGTTTTAAATCGTGCGGATTTTGACACTGCAAGTGAATTATGAAATCTACCTTTAGGGCCTTTTCTATACAGACATGAACAAAATTCATTGAAATATGCATGCAAATATCACAGTGCCCTGGATTCAGCACTTCCGGTTTAATTAGGACTCAGATAGATGCATTTTGAGGCTTTCTTGGGGATGCCTCTCTAGAAGAGGGGCTTCTGATATCTTGTCATCAACTTGTTCATGTCCCTTTCAAGAAATCCCCACTCTGCTAAGAGCACAGAGGGAAAATCTATCCCATGATTTCTCTGAGTCAGAGTTTCTGGGTGTTTGGTGGCTCACCCTCCTCAGAGAAGAAGAGCAAAGTCATTATGTAAGTCACTCAGTCTCCTTCATCCAGGGTTGGGACAGAGTCAGGTTGGCTGATGCGTTAGCAGGTGAGATGCCAGGTGTGATTATAGCTGCACAACCTAGAGGTGGAAATGAGATCTGGAAATGGGATGCAAGAATTGTCAACAGAGGAATCAATTCCTTTACCCAGGAGGCAGGGAACCAGGTGACTACAGAATGTCAGGAATGTACGTGTACATTAGAGTCACACTTGCTTGTGTGCGTTTTCCACCTTACAATAGCTTCTTCAACAGGCTGACAGCTACCTTTATTCATATTTCTTTTTCTTTTTCCTTTTTTTTTTTTTTTTTTTTTTTGAGACAAAGTCTCACTCTGTTGCCCAGGCTGGAGTGCAGTGGCACAATCTCAGCTCACTGAAACCTCTGCCTCCTGGGTTCAAGTGATTCTCCTGTCTCAGCCTCCCAAGAAGCTGGGATTATAGGTGAGCACCACGACACCTGGCTAATTTTTGTTTTTTTTTTTTTTTTTAGTAGAGACTGGATTTCACCATGTTGGCCAAGCTAGTCTCGAACTCCTGACCTCAGGTGATCTGCGCATCTTGGCCTCCCATAGTGCTGGGATTACAAGCATGAGCCACCGTGCCCAGTCCCTTTATTCATATTTCTAAATAGAGTCAGATTTGGAATTCACCTTATTGCCTCCTTCTAGCATAGGTAGCCCATACACTTGTTTATTTGTCAGCCTGATGAAAGGATTATATTCTCTGTAATGTAACATGCTGGTGCTATACTGGGGATAAGAAAAATGATTTTCCAGTCAGGTTATTGGAAAGAACTCAAGCCCATATTTAGTTGTAAAGCTATGACTTTATAAGGGCTATCTCGAATGTTTTGATTTACGTGGACTTGTTTGTAAGAACATAAGCCCAGCTGAATTCTTACAATGACTGGGAGATTGGCTTTGATAATTTTATGCAAAGCATTTTACATATGTCATCTTATTTGATTCTCATGAAAGTGAAGGCAACTGACACCCTCCCATCCCTTCTCACCTAGTTTAGATGCCCAACTCATGATGCCCTGAGGTAGGACTCAGAACTTCCCTAATAAAGCATATATACTTTATAACATTGGGCCCCTAGTAAGCCCACAGTAGAAGTTGGCTCTCTTCCTTTTGATTAACTTCAGAATCAGAGATCCTGAGAAGGAAGCATAAAATTATCAAAGCCAACCTCCCACTCATTGTAAGAATTCAACTGAGCTTTTATTCCTCAAACAAGTCCTCATAAATCAAAACAGTCAGCACAGCCCTCATAAGTGACAGCTTTATAAGCAACTATGGGCTTGATTTAAAAGTTATTATATATCTGATTTAAAAGTTATTATATATCTATATAAATAAACTGATTTAAAAGTTATATATCTGCGCAAATATAATAAAGTTCTTTATATATGACATAAATATGATACAGATTTATATATACACCTGTTAAATCATCTCTTCCTCTCTAGACCATGAGCTCCACAAGGCTAATACTCTGCCTGAAATGTAAGATGTACCCCACAAGTATTTGCTGAATGACTATAAAAGATGACCTAATTCAAGGATGAATTGTACCTCTATTTTACTTATGAGGAAACTGATCTCAAGCATTTACGTAACTTACATCTAAGTCAAACATAGAAGATGGGCCTTGCAGGTGCACGGGGAGTCCATGAGTCTTCCTCCGCATCAGCTGGACTCTGCCTACAGCACAGGTGGCTGTCATGCCCTTGTTATCCATGTGTGCAGAATGAGCTCGGCTAATACAATGGACGCATGATCTCAACTCTTGTCTTCCCTCGGCCAGAAAGTCTTATCTCACATCTTATATAGCCCTCTCCTTCACTTGTTTTGGGAGCCTACCTAATGTCACCTCCCAAGTGAGATTTTTCCTGACCCTCTGCCCATGCCCCTGCCTCTATCCCCATGATCCTACGATGATTGCCTCCAGGCTATCAGGTTGCCTCCCAGGGGCTAAGCTCTGTCTGTTTTATTCACTGTATTATCTCCTACACCTGACACATTGCCTGGAACAGAGCCTGACACATGGTTGGCTTTTAGTAGATATTAACTTTGTAAGACAGTGAAGGATGAATGGATAGATGGATGGATGGATGAATGGATGGATGGATGGATGGATAGACTCATTATTCTACAAGTGTCATAGTGTTTCACCCAACTTAAACTGAGGGAGGTGTACTGGTTCACATAGCCAGCCATCAGAGAGGGTGGGAACCCCTAAGAAACAAGGAATGGGACCCCAGGATTTTCTCTCTTCATCTCTTATCTCTGTTTCTCTTTTTGTGACAATTTTGCTCTCTCAGCCGACTTTCTCCATATCAGTGAAGCAGTGGATACTAACAGTTCCAAAATCACATATATTTCCTCTGTCCTCTGTCCATCTGCCCTTCACCCAACACCAGTTATTAAAGTCGCAGAGAAGCACTCAGATTGACCCAGTTTGGGTCATATATTCACACCCTGGACAACCTCTACCCCTTGAAGAGTAAAAGCTGCTACTGTCTAAGCTCTGGACCAGATTTCTACCTGTTAGAGTGGGTGGGTGCTGGTGTAAGATACTATGCTTAGCAGCCCCCATTAGAGTCACATGACTGAAGTGGGATACTCAGTTCTCGAAAAGAATAGGGCACTTTTTTCTCAAAGAATGAGCGATGAAACATCAAGCAGACAAAACACAGTAATTGTTCATTACAGGCATAAATTCTACCTGTAAGTTTTCAAGTTCCTAATAATAATATTGCATTAAAAAACATGAACAGTTAACCATATTAAGACTGGCATTTTGTGTTAGGTCCATCATTTTGAACAGCAGTAATAACTATTCAGTAGACATGCAACAGTGCTGATAATTATAGACATCTTTTTGATAGAAACTAGCATTTTTTAGATTCTCAAAATAGATAACTGTGTTGACAGCAGTTGCTTGCCTGAGCCCAGTGGTTCACTCTGTATTTTCTACCAATTCAGTCTGAACAGCAGCCTTCAGGAATCTTCTCCTCTGTATTCATATTTGCAGAGGGAAAAAAATCTGTCCCAGGTACCATCTTTCTCTCTATGTGATGATTATGTCTTTCCCATTATAGAGTGGTCAAATTTAGTAGAGAATCATTCTTTGGATCAAATAATCCAACAGTAATTTACAAAGAATGCTGACTGCTTCCCTGGCATAGTTGTAAGCACATCTCATCTTCATAACCACCCTAAGAGATAGGTACTATTTTTAATCCCCACTTTATAGTTGAGAAACTGAGGTCAGATAGATAAGTGACTTGCAGAAGGTCACAAAGCTAGAAAGTAGCAAGAGCAAGACTTGGATCCAGTTGGTCTAGCTCTGTAGTTCACGATTCTCACCACTATGCTCCTCCTTCCAGTTGTTGGCAACAGTTATCTAGTCAGTCACAGAAGGTGTCCCTTTGGCTCGTTTTGTTCTCTTCTACCCTTTATTGGCCCACATAGCTGAGGTCCCTGCCA